GTCAACATTACAGCCACCTTGTTCTGGTGTTGGCGACAGTCCTGCTCTGAGTGTTGATCTCATCCTGGCCCGGAGCAAGAAATCCAACTAAATCAATTTAAGAAGTGCTCTTCAACCAGTATTACCAAGATTCTGTGATTTCACGATAGAAATGAGGCTGATTGTGATAAACAATATCAACTTTATCCTCCCTCAGCACCAACAGTACCATTTGGGTTATTAAAAAATTAATTTTAAATTTACAGATATTTACTAGAGGATTCTGTTAGGATTCATTAGACACATGTTTGTACCTTGTCTCCTTCTTATTTAGAGTTGTATTGACTTTATTACATAAAAATTCATTGCAGGCAGATGCCAAGCCTGACTTCTTTGTGGATGATATGTCTATTGTTAATAAATTAGCTGGAGACACGCATCAGAAGACAAACGGTATTGCAAAATCTGGCAATCAAACAGTACTAGCTAATAAACACATGACAAGTTATGAAGAATGATGTATCTAGTCAGATGTATTTATTTGGAAGGTAGTCTTTTAAACCGTAATTAAATTCACTTTAGATGAGGATTGTAGCTTCGTGACTGCTCAGGTATTCTGAATACACAAAGCAGTGAGAAACAGTATGAATGGTCACTCTGACAAGAAGACCAGAATGGAAATCTTCAGAAGAAAAGTTTTAGTCTGTTTACATTAGAGTCTTAAGGAAAAAAACCAAGTCTTTCCAGGGCAGGATGGACAGGTTGGATTCTGTGTAGAATAATCAATGTAATAGGGTCAGCAGGACCAAGGAATAATGAGGGGCTTTTCTTCCCATGGGTGGCTGGACTGCTGCAAGCAAGCAAAGGTGTAGATAATGCAACAGAGGAATTTTTGGGATGCTGATAAAAGGCTTACCAGCCAAGTTTATTCGTTTGTTCTCCTGGAAAAGAGAGAGCAAATTTCAAGGCACACTAAAGTGACGTCTTTATATCTCAGTATCAAAGATGTGAATGAAAGAGCCCAGGACAAGGCTGACTCATGCTATATGACCTCCTGAGCATCTGACCACTGTAGGAAGAATAGTGCTGATGTAAATGAAAAGAGAACTTGGTCTTTTCTGTGGGGACCTTTCATTGCTGCCTTTAAAAGTTGGACTAATAATAATCCACAAGTGCATGAAGATATAAAACTTAAAAATATTTATGTCCCTGACTTTTCCAGGTGTTAGGTGAAATTTTCCCAGCCCTGAAATACTCCTCAGAATGCCTGTATGTGGCAAGATGCCCATTTTTGAAGAGGAAAAACTGTGGTGTAGGGACATGGAGCACTTCTCCAGAGTTGATGCAGACAGACCCAAGCACTCTGCCGGTCTGAGCTGTGCCAAGATGAGCAGCTCTGATGCAGAGATCATGTAATGGCAGAGTACTGGTGTGGTACCAGCTCAGCAGACAGTGGCCTATTCACTGAATGTGGCATCAGCCTCAGACATCTATGCCACTTTTAGACTTCAGCCAGCTTGAAACACAGGGAGAGATGCTGATTACTGACTGTCTCATGTGACATGCTGAACACTATGGAAGAACCTCTATTTAGTGTCTGAAATACTAAACTACCTCTCTTCACTCTCCTGTCTGCTATCCTGAAAAGTTTACCAAACACCACAGGCTGTTGGGTGAATGGGATACAGGGAACTCAACAGCTTAAGTGCTTTTGCTAAGTCTAAGTAAGGACACTGGAATTCTGTCCTAGACAACTTTCCAAAGGGATTGACTTCTCTGCTTCTTTTGCAGTATGGCAAGTGTACCAGGACCTCAAGAGTGTCAGTGTCTGCATTATCCATTATTCTAGTGAGGATCAAACTCATTGGAATAGTTAAAATTATTAGTCCCATGTGCTGGTTTACTCATATGAACAGTAGCTATAAAACCAGGCCCTGGAAACAAATAATTTTTGCCTTTGGAATTGATTTGCATGCTATAATAGAGGCAGTTCTGATGAATTTTAGTAGAGGCGGGGGTTGAATACATGTGCCTGTTATCAGGGCTTTGCTTTATGTTAAGACAGCCCTGCATTGTGCAGTGCATAATGAATTCCAGAAAACACAGCTTCTTATTGTTGTCAGTTATTGGGGGCTCATTCTCCTAATGAGACATGTAAATATCTTTCATTAATGTTAAGGGTGACTGTGTGCTTGGCCCCTGAGGAGAACAGTGCTCTCTGTCAGCTACAGCAGAAAGATGAAAATTACAACAAAAATGCCATTATAATTATTGCAAAAATTTGCCTTTATGACATCAGTAGCCTTGACAGCTTTTGGTATCATTTGCAGAATTATCCCTCTACCCTTTTGGCCTGTTTACTTCCTTGTTTTGGACTGCTACGATAAACTCTTAAATGTCTTTTTATACCCACAATTTCAAAATGCAGAGGAAGGGACTGTTTGATAAACCCTGTTAAATATAGGCACAACATGTAAACCTGGGCTTAATGCATAAGCATATGCTGTACTTTAGGTCACCCAACTGAAATCAATGGGACTTCTCAAACTGTTAAGCAGTTCAGTACTTGTTTTACCTGACCTTTTGATCAGGGATTGGAGAGGTGGGTACTGTATAGTATTGAACTTTGAGTACAGTAATCCACTGGACAGGCTGGTAAGGGGTTCTTAAAGAAACTCATTGAGAACTCTCAGAGCAAACATCCACAGAGATTTGCCTTGAAAAATACATACGTTAAAAGCCCAGACACCTGCTGGCCCCATCAGTCCACATGCTTGAGGATCCTCTCCATCACTGCAGCTGACAGTTTGCTGACAGAGAACAGTGATGTCCCTACTGCTCTGCCTAAACCTCCAGAGCAGAGGACCATACACAAGCTGCCTGCTGGCAATGGTGGCAGCCTGTGCTGACCCCTGCCAGCCCCATAAATCATCTGAGAGTCCCCGTGGAGCAGAGACAAACCTGTGCCAGGGCCTGCACCTGAAAACGAGCACTACAGGTCATTGATTTGAACACCTGCACATGGGCCCTGGCCCTGGTACACTCCTGGGGATGGGCACAGCCCATGTGCTGGACAGGGCTGATCTGAATCTTCCTGGCACTAGCAGTGACCTCAAGTGCTGTGGGTTCACGCTGTTCTCAGCACAAAATAAGATGGTGCATGCACAGGCTGCCCTAAGCTTTCCTCTCCAGAACAGCAATGACCTGACCATGCAGGGGTCTCATTGGGATGGTCTAATTTTAGGGAAGAGGCTAAGGATCAGTTCTGCGATTATTTCATAGGACAAATTCTTTTCTCCCTATTTCATGTGAAGTTCTATTCATGTAACAAGCTGATTTTGAAAGTTTGTGTCAGAAAAAAATTAGCATTTAATGCAAAATCAGCCCTGTGATTACAAATAGACCCACCATCCCTTAAATGTGCATGAGGTTCTAAAGTTACATGTGTGTTTACATACACATGTCCACACATGTATAATATGTGCATGTTTAAAATACATAATATATAACATAAAGTGGATAATACACCAAACTCTCATCTCACCTAGCTGACCTTTTGAAAGACTGGAAGGGAGAATTTCCAGAGACACTCATATAGTGTGTGAAATCTGTGCCCCACAGAGTCAGATTTTCCAAACTATTTCAGTGCCTAAAGATGCTGACAGACACCTACTGTGACTCCACAAAAGTATCTAGGCAGAGTGTATGGTGAATTCATCTCAAGTCCACCAAGAATCAGAAAGCACCAAAGAAAACCAGTTATGAAGATTTCTCTAAATACCAACAGCAGAATCACCTAGATGCTTTTCAGAATTTAACCCAGAATAATTAAGTGTAATATTTATAATGGAATTTTAAATCTTAAAAAAAAAAGACATTTGAAAAATAGTTTGGAGAGTGGACAAAGATAGTCTCAAACCATATATAGTCACAGTATGCAGCAATGAATAGTGTCCTACATAAAATGGAGGTAAGAGAAACACAGACTATAAAATAAGAGCAAGAAAAACATTTCACTGGGCTATTTGAGGGAAACAGTGTACAGGTAAAAATGGCTGTTAACCTTTAAAGCTGGTATCCAACCCCAACTAGGTTATGATAAAATATGAGGGCACATCATACTTTTTATTGAGTTCTGTTTTTACTTAATTTTCTGCAACTGAGCAAGATTAGATGGTTTGAAGTTGCCAGTGCTGGATCCAAGGCAGAACAGTCCCCAGTTCTGCTCTGCCCTACAGTAACAGTTCCTAAACAGAGTGGATTAACAGCATGTTCAGTGACTGTTGGAAAACAAGCGATATTATTTACAATCGTAACAAGGCTCAGTAAACATCCTGCTAAATAGAAGAAGGAAATAATTCCCACTTAACCAGAACACTTAGCACAATGGGGTGCACAGACTGACTTCTAATTCTTTGTATTTAGCAAATCAGGGAAATGCAAACTTGAGGAAACAAACTCTGAGCGTGGATCTCATCATTACAGCCTTTCCAAAGCTAACTCCAAAGACTAGACATGTTACACGTGGCAGCTGAATTTATTTTAAAATGTAAGACTTGCCTCCTACCAGCCATTAGTCTGATGCCCTGAAGAAAATAATGAGACTGAAGATCTGTGGATGACTTTTTTCACAGATGCAATCAGGGCACACTTGTGACCTTCTCATTACACCTCTCCAGGTCATCCCTGTTCCCATGAGAACTGCCAGGCACAGGCTCATGCAGCTCTTACACACATTGGTAATAACAGCCCATATAAATTCCTAAAACAAAACTAGATCCTTTCTATAAAACAGCAAAGTAGTCTTAGTCCTCCACGCACACCAAATACCGACTGATCAGAAGCTCTAAATGACCCATTTGATCACTTTGCAATTTTCACTGAATGGTGCTGAAGCAAGGACCAGGAAAGTTAATAAAATCTGAGTGAGGATCATCCTTCCCCCCATTACCACCCTTCCCTTCCTTTAACAAATTTCATCCTTCCCTCCATTACTCTGAGAGAGAAAATGAGGGACATACCCCGTGGCGCTGTTCGTAGTAAGCCAGCTTGGATTTGGTTAAGACAAAGAAGCGCACTTTGAAGTTGGAGGGTGAAGTCCTTCTCTTCTGCTGGGATTTTTTGATCAGCAGTTCCTCCAGGAGCACACAGTTATTCATGGCTGAGCCAAGAATGTTTGTCTCCCAGGACATGAGAAGTCTACCCTGTGTGCCCGTCTAAGAAAGAAACACAAGAAGGAAGACAGTTAATTAAAAAAAAAAAAAAAGTTGTTCAAAAGGCAGCGTAGGTGCTTTGAGCTTTATCTTCCCATCTACAGCAAAGCTTCCTTTCTGCCAGACCATAACCACATCCTCTATGAAGTCATAAAAGCAGCACAGTTGAGATATACCCTAGGGTAAATGTTGTGGAAAAAATAACACTTGATGGACATTCAGAAGGTGTGAATCAATGATTAAGGATTAATTAAAGGGGTGTGGCATGATTAAGCATCTGTCTCCTACTTGCTTATCTAGTAAATACAGTTATAAATGCACACACCAAACACGTATGTATGGGATGAGTGTCCTTACTGTCCTCTTAGAAGTAGGTCATGCATCCATATTTATTTTGTGAAGGAATGATACCGTCCCATTTGCAGTATTTAACAGTTGCCTGTGAGCCACAGAGATTTCATACAATGGATTTTGAGGAAGTTCTCCATATGATGATTTAGCTGACAAGGTGGTCTTTGGTCAAAGGTTGGACTTGATGATCTTGGAGGTGCTTTCCAACCTTAATATTTCTATGATTCTGTGATAACATGAAAGTTCCTACTATGCAAGCAAAGAAATTATATCCAAGGAGATACTCAGAATCATAGAATATGCTTGTATAAGCAATAACTTGTATAAGGAATAACTTTATAAGGAATGTTAAATATATAATAGATATTTAAACTGAAGACAAACAGGTATAATAACTGATAATTGATTAATTATCATTGATTACTCTTTACTGATTACTGACTGTTTCAGGTGCAGTCTGATGAGACTGTGGCTGGATGCTGCAGGAGGGAGAGGCACAACGTGCCCTCTGTGGATGGTATCAAGACCATGTCATCAGCAGTGAAGTGAGCTCAAACATCCAACCAAATCCAACTAGTTTCCTCAGGCCTCCAGGGTACCACTCAGGGCAGTTTGCACCAGGCTAAATATAAAATTATAATAAAATTAGTATGCATCTAATGCAGTCAGTACAACAGCACTGTTGTATTTTAAAGCAAGTGCAATCCATTTTTCTCTTCTCTTTCATTCTTAGTATTTTGTATATTTTTTTATTATTGATGTATATTTATTATTGATGTATAACTCAGCCAGTGCTGAGTTTTGGCTCTATTTTGATGTCGTACCAGAACATAAGGAGGCAGCTCCCTATTGCTGCTTTTTATAGCTGTTTGCAAGTTCAAAAGAAAATATTTCATTATTTTAAACAGAACTTATGAGGAAAAAAATTCTGAACAAATATCAGAATTGCAAAAAACCCCAAAGACTTAGATTTTATAGCGCAGTTCATAGACAGACTTGGAAACAATATTCTCAATAGAATATATTATTTATTTCTCAAAAAAAAAAGAAGTGGCATATCCCTTCCTTTCTGTTTCATGATATGTTCTTTAGGCAGTATGTTCCAGGGATCATCAAACTTTCCCTACCAATTTTGTTCATGTTAACTAAGAAACTCCATTTTCCATAAAAATACAATTTAAATAAAACACTCGATGTACAGATTTGTAAGAGAATTTGCTTAAGACAATGCAGTACCATGGGACAGAAACAAGGACAAACAGAAGCTGTTGTGCAGCTGATGCCTATATAAATATAGATAGTCTTGGTAGTCTTGCTGAAGATAAAATGCAGTGTATACTGAAACATTTGTCATGCAGAATTCTGTTAAAGCGAGGCTTTGTTTCTCGGCAGAGTGACTGAGTACCAAGGAACTCTTGTGGTGAGATGACACAAGTCTGTGATCTCCTGAAAAACCGTCACTGGTGTCAAGGGGAATTTCATACCTATTTGTAGACTAGGATCAATGCCCAGGCCAAATTTCCCAATTCTTCTACAAACCCATTTGCCTCATGCAGTACACATGTATGAAAAATGGAGAGTTTGATGAGAGTTTTCAAAATTTAGCCCTGTGTTAGCAGTAGCTGGATAAATTACAGACCTTGAACCTCCAAAATATAGGACCACTTTTGCGTGCGCATAACTTCCCTTATGCTTGAGAATTTGCTGATTTAAATTATGCTCAGAGATCCTTTCTCCTAATTAATAAACCAAAACATGCACAGGGACAAACTGCATGGATTCACTGTGCAACAATGAATTTTCCCCCAAAAAGGCTGTTGATCTTGATCAACAAGCATTTTACTTGATTTGTGTCAATACAGATGCATTTATAATGACAGTTTGTAATGGCATTGCATTTTTAGCTAATAACACTTATTTAGGACTATGTTATTTTTTCTAGTCTCTTCTTCACACTTACTGTAGTGTGTTAAGGACTTTATGAAAAGTCTTTGCAGCTTGGCCAAGGGGGGTTGCAGTCTGCTGGCAGAGATGCACATGTTGTCTTATCAGAAAATTGAGTATAAATAGAAATACAAGGGTATGACATTGCAGCTCTGCAGAAAAAGCGAGGAGTACAGGATAGCAGAGAGGTGAGACATCAGCGCTCTGAGGGGAGTGAGGCTGCTGGAGATGGGAGGATGTGGGGGGAGAAGAGGTTGAGCAAGGGTGGTGAGTAGTGGGGGGAGAGCTAAGAAATTCTTTGAACATAGTGACTGGCAGCTTGATTTCTTCATGAGATAAGAGATGAGTTCTCAGAGGGGCATGAAGAGGGGAGCGATTTGATCAAATACACAGATAAGGGGCTTGGCAACTGCGCCTCATTTGGCGTAAACATGGTGCGATGGACCACAGGAGGTCTGACGGGAAGGTGCTGCGAGGGGCAAGGTAAAAGAGAGAGAAACAAGGAGCAACTGAGAATACAGATTTGATACAACACATGCAGATGTAAGAAAATAATCCCAGATTTTGGCCCATAGTGATAGAGAATGTCGTAGCTGTGTTAGAACCGGCAGGATTTAGCAGGCTAGATCGGCCGTTTGGAGTTTTCCATGTTGAGCTCAAACTGATGGTGGGCCAGCTAAGATATTAAGCAGGGAAAAAAATAAGAATGAGCAGGAGGAAGGAAACAAGACAACACAGTCAGATTTGGGTGCCATTGATTTAAACATGGAAGCTGTTTCAGTGGGAGCTGCTAACTAGCTCTGTTTTGCAATACCTCTATCAGCTGATAACTCTTCATTGTTGAGCTGGGGAGTAAGGTAGAGGCTGACATATTTTTGTATCCAATCTTGCTACGGATCTAATCCTTCATTTTTATTTTTTCACTTTAAATCCAAGCCCCACGTGTAGCAAACACAGAAATAGTTGAGTGTTACAAGCCAAAACCAGAATATGAATGCTATGTTTAAAGGATCTATAGCCAGATTAACATGTATAAACTGAAATCATATGGTCTAAGAATTGTATTTGTATTTAATTATACATTTAGGAGAGAGTAACCTGATTATGTATATTTGAATTTAATTTCAAAGATCATGGTTTCCTGACTAATTTTTAAATAAAATTGTTTTAAATAAATTGTTTCTTTCAAAACATTAACTGTAGACAAAAATCATTTGTCATTATCTATCTGGGTGACTAACAGGTTATAACCCTTTTAAAGAAAGCTTCAGACATTTAAAGGGTTCAGGACCTTTCTACAGTAGAGTAGGATGTAGGTATATCTGTCCATATTTATTTAAGTAGAAATACACCACTTGTCTAGGACCAAGTGGGCTGCAGAGCTGGAATATGTGAGGATATTTGCAGAGCTCTACACACAGAGTACAAAGTCTTCCTCAAAGGGCTCTCCTTAGGAGAGCTGGAATATCCCATTAACACAAGTATCTCATTTCTGGAAGCTGACACTGTATTATGGTACAGTTTTACACCAAATATATGAGCACGCTCCTTTGAATACTTCTGGCACCACTATATATTTGCATGGTACAGAAATTCTGTATCCTTAATAGAAAATACTTAAACATAACTGTCCTAAATATCTTAGAACCACTGTAAGACTATCCTTCAAGGGATGATGAATTTTTTAGGTATCCTAGATATTCTCTGCTTAAGTGCTTTTATAAAGCCTGCTACCATGTATCCTTTGACACTTTTTCATCCATATTCAGGAAAATCTGAAATACTTTAAATGATTCAGATTTAAGTTTGAGCTGCTGTGTGCTCTAAATACTCCTCTGTGTTGGGTAAGTTGAGGTTACAGATAAAGTTATTCTTATCAACTGTGGCCTCAGTGGACTCCTTTTTTTTTCTTTTAATCACCTTTGTTCATTCCTTGCTACCTCCTGCAAACTGCTCTATTTCTGCTTTAAAAAATGTTATTTTAGGGATTGGATTTTTTGTAGGGGATTTACCCAGATTATGCAGTTCACACTTTGATTACTGCCGACTGCGAAAATCTCCCCACCCGCACATCCTGCTCTGATACCAATGCTTATGTCCTGAAGGCGGCAGAGAAATGTATCAAGTTAAATATAGATTATTTTTGTTTTTGTAAAAAAAGAAAAACAGTCCACAAGGCTGCAACTCTCTCTTCACTCTCATAAATTGACCTATATACTTCTATCATGTGTAATATTTAGGTAAGTTTTACTGCCTGGGTGCCAGCTCTTCCTTTACACCAGCTGCTCAGTATGATGATTATTACTCCACTTCTAAACTTCCATAATTCCACCCATTTTGCTACTTAGCTTAGAGCATGAGAAACTCTTATTTAGGTTACTCAGCTGTCTTGCTTCTTTGGCAGTTCATTATCACCCCAATAAACATGTCTCCAGTAGACCCAAAGAACAAGACAGAAAGCTGCAGAAAAAAGGAAGAATTAGCCTGGTCTTTCTGAGCCAGATGCATCCAGCTTTCTCCTAGGTCTCACAATTGCACCTTTGAATCTGCTCACACTGCTGGTCCCAGTGACCAAGGGAGTTGCTCTTGTAGAACCAGAGCAAGATTCTCCTGTGAACTGTCTGGGACGCCTGGGAAAGCAGATGCCTTGTTCTGAGCATTGCTAGGAGGATGTAGTGAATTATCCATCATTTGA